GTAATGCGAGGACTGTGCCCATGAGAACATAGTAGTGCGAGGACTGTGCCCTGGGGAACACAACGGTGCGAAGACTGTGCCCATGGGAACATAGTTGTGTGAGGACTGTGCCCTGGGGAACACAGTAGTAGAAGGACTGTGCCCTGGGGAACACAGCGGTGCGAGCACTGTGCCCTGGGGAACATAGTTTGGCGAGGACTGTGCCCTGGAAAACACAATAGTGCGAGCACTCTGCCCTGGAAAACACAATAATGCGAGCACTGTTCCCTGGTTAACACAGTAGTGCAAGGACTGTTGCCTGGGGAGCTCAGCAGTGCGAGGAATCAGCCCTGGGGAGCATAAAGGTGCGAGGACTGTGGCGTAGGGAACACAGCGATGCGAGGACTGTGCCCTAGGGAGCACCTCCTCATGGTGCCTCATGGTTGCTGAGAGCTTCAACAAAACATCGTTTTAACAAAAAGCCATTAGGAAATTTAAAAATTAACTTCGGAGAGCTAATTTTTTTACCTCCTTCCCGAGTGAAGAGTATTAGTAATCTATATAAATATAAATGGAAATATTCGTTTGTTCAAAATCACTAATCTCCGAAAGTTCTTCACCGATTGCTTTGAAATTTTCACATAACGTACCTTTCGCATACGAGCGGGTTTATATATACATACTATAAAGATGTCACGTTTGTGACGGGAAAAAACATGCTTTTCTGAAAAGCTGTGTTTTTGGGGTGTTTTTCATTTGTGGGAAATCTTCGAAACCTCTTTATCGATTGCTTTGAAATTTTGACACAGCATTGCATTCGAATAGGCGAGTGTTTTTATATACCTACTATATACATGCCTCACCTGTGACAGGAAAAAAACATTTTTTTTTTTTTTAAACAGCGCCATCTGTAGGACGTCAGTGCAACACACGCTGTAATCTCCAAAAGTTCTTCACCGATTGCTTTGAAATTTTGACAACGTTCCATTCGAATACATGCGTGTTTTTATATACCTACTATTTAGGTGCCATGCCTGTGACAGGTAAAAACATGCGTTTTTTTTTAAACAGCGCCATCTACTGCATGTAAGAGCAAGACAAAATATACAAAATATGTTACGATTCCCTTTCAATGTTTCCGATTGCATTGATAAATTGAATTTTCATAGATTTTTATTTATTTTCATTTTGATTTTATTATTTTGTGTGAGACGTTGCGTTGGAATTAAGCTGTGTTGTTTACCATATTGCTCATTTCGTGGGTATAGCTTATTTGTTTCTTTTATCTGTGTTTGAATTGAAATATTTCGTTAGTATTTTTTGTTTTTGTTTTGAAAACAAGAAAATGGATAACACTTATTTCACAGCTGCAAATGTGCAACAAACAGCTATGAATCCACCGGCTACAACGTTAACTACTTTCTTCACGTTATGTCAAAATGACACGTTTGTGAAAACACTGCTGTATTCGGAAGTGCCTACGTATTACACATGGAATGCCAGTAGAAAATCATTTGAACGACGCAAACGAGGAGAACGAGTCGACGGACAACCTGGCATATTCAAATAAACTACGATAGGCAGACTGTACACCATGCATCCCCATCAAGATGAATGCTTCTTTCTTCTCATGCTGCTGGTAAATGTGCCCGGTCCAACGTCTTTCCAGCCATTGAGATTTGTCAATGGCGTAACACATGCCACTTTCCGTAGTGCAAGTCAAGCTCGGAATTTATTGGAGAACGACTGACACTGGGATGTATGCATTAATGACGCGTCCAACACGTCACATCCAAATCAAATTCGTGCATTGTTTGCAATCATATTGACCACCGGCTCTACTTCATCTCCAACAGAGTTATGGGAGAAATATAAATCGCACATGACTGAAGATATTATCCGTTGAATACAAAGGAAAATTCAAATATGAACATGGATTTCACAGCAGAAATCTACAACGAAGCATTGATAATAATTGAGGATTTGTGCTTAGAAATCGCGAACAAACTTCTAAATCAATTGGAAATGCCGTCACTGAATCGATCTGCTGCTGCTTCGTTCGATGTAGAATTGCGTCTTGAACAAAATTACAACACGAGTGATCTGTTGTCGTACGTGCAATCAAATATTCCTAATCTAACGCTTGAGCAAAAAGGCATTTACAATCAAATAATTCAAACTGTCAATAACTGGTTTGGAGAAATCTCCTTAGATGCACCAGGAAGAACTGTAAATCCTTCCTAATTAGATTGATTCTGGCAGCAATTTGATCCCAAAATGGCATAACCTTAGCTCTTGCATCGTCCGGAATAGCTGCGACATTGTTACCAGGTGGAAGAACTGCTACTTCGGCTTTGAAATTGCCATTGAACATGCAATTCATTGAAACTCCCACGTGGAACATTTCCAAAGCATCCGGCATGGGAAAAGTATTGCAGAAATGTAAACTTATTATTTGGGATGAATGCACTATGACCTACAAAAAATCGCTCGAGGCTCTTGATCGATCATTACAAGATTTGCGTGGAAACATCAGACCATTCGGGAACGCATTAATATTGCTTGCAGGAGAATTCAGGCAAACATTACCTGTAATTCCTCGATACAAGTCCGTTGACACAGTTGAGGAAGCAGATGAAGCGGTTAGTTATCTAACAGAATTTTTGAATTCACTCGATCTGCCAGGGATACCATCATACGTACGGAAATTGAAAATCGGCGTGCCAATTATCATGTTGCAAAACATCAATCAGCAAAAGCTTTGCAACACCACGCGGCTTGCAGTAAAAAAAATAATTAACAACGTCGTAGAAGCAACAATCTTAACAGGACCTTTCAAAGGTGAAGATGTCCTCATTCCTCACATTCCTATGATTTCAACAGATATGCCATTTCAATTTAAGATATTGTAATTTCCAATACGATTGGAGTTTGCAATCACCATCAACAAAGCTCAGGGCCAATCTTTAGAATTGTGCAGTTTATATCTAGACACAGAATGCTTCTCACGTGGACAATTATATGCTGCGTGTTCTAGAGTCGGCAAACCAGACAATCTCTATATCTCCACAGACAATGGAACAACAAAAAATATTGTATTCCCACAAGCATGGTGAAATTAAACATATTAGAAACGTGTGCTTTCTCTTTTCTTTCTTTTCCATTAAACCAGACTGAGCCACAGCAACGCGTGACGGGTATAGCTAGTATCTATATAAATATAAATGGAAATGTTCGTTTGTTCAAAATCGTTAATCTCCTAAAGTTCTTCACCGATTTTTTAAAAATTTTCACACAATGTTTCATTCGCATCCGAGCGGGTTTTTATATGCATACAATATTGATGTCACATCTGTGATGGAAAAAAAAACATTCTTTTGGGAAAAACTGTGTTTTCATGTGTTTTTCATGTGAGAGAAATCTTCGAAACCTCTTTACCGATTGCATTGAAATTTTCACACGACGTTGCATTCGAAAAGGCGCAGGTTTTTATACACCTAATATATATATATATATGCCTAACCTGTGACAGGAAAAACCATGCTTTTTTTTTAAAAAGAGTGCCATCTTATTAGATGTAAGAACAACTCACGCTGTAATCTCCCAAAGTTCTTCACCGATTGCTTTTAAATTCTGAGAAAACGTTCCATTCGAATATGTGCATGTTTTTATATATGTACTCTATAAATGCCACACCTGTGATAGGTAAAAACAGCGCCATCTGTTGCACGTAATAGCAACACACCCGCTATAATAAATATGTTATGTATTCCATTTCAATGTTTCCGATTGCATTGATAAATTGAATTTTCATAGATTTTGATTTATTTTATTTTTTATTGAATTATTTTGAATGACATTATGTTGGAATTGAGCTGTGTTGTTTACCATACCATTCATTTCGTGAGTATAAGTATAGATGCCACTGCTGTGACAGGTAAAAACATGATTTATAAAGAAAAACAGCGCCATCTGTTGCACGTAAGAGCAACTCATGCTATACTAAATATGTTTCGATTCCATTTCAATGTTTCCAATTTCATTGATAAATTGAATTTTCATAAATTTCGAATTTTATTCATTTTGATTTTATTATTTTGTGTGTCATTGTGTTGGAATTGAGCTGTGTTGTTTACCACACCGTTCATTTCGCGAGTAAGGTATATATTTTTTATTTTTTTATTGTTTTTCATTTCGTTTTTTAATTGTTTTTCTTATATTTCAGTGATGAGAACATCAGAGCACTGGATGTTTCCAATTTTCTGATGGGAACATCAGATCATTTGGGAATGCAACAGACGAGGGAGTGGGGAATGGTGGGAAGGATGAGGGGACGGTGGAGGGGGGGGGATGGTGGGGACGAGGGGGCAATGGAATGGAGATTGGTGGGGGAGGATGAGGGGAAGGGGGAATGACAGGGAGAACGAGGGGGCGGGAGAGTGGGAGATAGTGGAGAGGACGAAGGGACGGTGGAGTTGGGAATGGTTAGGAGAACGAGAGGACGATGGAGTGGTGGATGATGTGGAGAACATAGGAATGGAGGTAGGGAGAAAATGGTGGGGAGGACGAGGGGACGGGTGAGTGAGAAATGGTGGGGAGACAGGGGGGGGGGGTTGCTGTTGCTCAGGTACACATACGTTGCTGAGCCATAGCAACGCGTGGCCGGGTACAGCTAGTAGAGAATATTTGTGCTGGAATCGGTGATCTTACCCTTTCGGTCATATTCAATAACAATAATAATAATAAATCCTGTATACAATGTCTTGTATCCTCATAATTTAAAAATATAATATTGGCTAGTATGTTAACGATTTTAATTATATATCTTTTATTTATTTCCAGAACAAGACATGTTTGCTGATTCCTTTCATGATAACGGTGTTGATCCTCATCATTTGCATTATACGCATTGCCCTGGCTCTTATTATACTGTTTAGTATACAGCAACAATTGCAGGCAATGTTCGTCATCGCAATCATTTTGGCAATCATTTTAATTATATATCTTTTATTTATTTCCAGAACAAGACACGTTTGCTGATTCCTTTCATGATAACGGTGTTGATCCTCATCGTTTGCATTATACTCATTGCCCTGGCTCTTATTATACTGTTTAGTATACAGCAACAATGGCAGGCAATGCTCGTCATCGCAATCTTTTTCGGCGTCTACATATTTCTGGAGACGTACTTTCTTCTGGTCATCCGTGCATACTATTTGGAGGTGAGTTAAAAATATGTAGTGTTACTAAAACAACACATTAAAGGTCTTAAATAACTTAGTGAATCATAAGAGCCTAACGTGAATATTAATGTGGTTACAAAAAATGCAAATAATTTTAATGCAAAGCATGTGACGTTTCTAACAATATTATTATACAGCAACCCGTTCTTAGACCAAGTCCGTTCCAGCCAGCGGTCGACCCCAAAGACGCATTCATCAATTTTAACATGCTATTCAATGAAAAAAAAAAGAGATTTTTTCAAATCTAAATTACATTATTATTATATATTAGCATACTGTGCATGTTTAGGTATAGGATAGGTTAGATGTTTAGGTTCTTTTGACGATTATTTGTATATGTAGTACGTAGGTGAAGCATTTACACAACCCGTCCTCGACTCAAGTCCATTACATTTAGCGGTCCACCCCACAAACGCATTCATAAATTTTAACATGCTGTTCATTCAAAACGGCCATTTTCTCAAGTATAAATTAATATTATAATATATTGGCATATTGTGTATATATAGGCATAGGATAGGTTAGGTCAGGTGTTTAGGTTCTGTTGGCGATTATTTATATTAAATTCGTCAGTGAAGCACTTGTTCCGGATATGTTCGAACGTCAGCAGTTGTGAGTCGTGTGTAAACCGCTTTTCATTCATAAACAGGGGGTTTGGCGGGTGCATGGAATCACTTTTGGATCTTTGTTTGGAGGACGGGCTGGCATTTACAGCGTTGTAGTTCGAACAAAAGTCGTCAGCGAAGCATTTGTTTCAGAAGTGTTCGGACGTCATCAGTTGAGTGTCGTGTGTAACCCGTTTTTCATTCGTAAACAGGGGGTTTGACGGGTGCATGGAATGTACTTTTGGTTTTTGTTTACGAGGACTGCTGTAGACTAAAAAGCTGAAGCGCAGTTAAAAATAGCGGATAACAGAGCCATGGGAGGGAACAAAAATAAGTTTGATGTTCAAGAGTGGTCAGCACCGTCAACCACTTGTTCAGCGGGAAGAGTTTCTCGGTAAGTTCAGCGAGTACAAGAGCACAGCAAGAAGAAATTATATTAGAATTTCTGTCAGGTGGAATGCTTCGATGCCGTTCATTGCTGTTCGCTCTTGTTCAACAGCTTATTTTGGTATTGACTTTAAAGCTTATGAACCTCTGGATTGTTATTAAGGCCAAAACGAGAGCTTTTGTCGTCAAAATTGTCCAGGACTAAAGTAAGTAAGTAATTATAAAAAGAAGACACCAAACCGGGAAGGCTATGTAGCACCATCAAATGCGCAAAATAATCAGAGGGCGCTAAATATCACCAAGGATGCCAATACGAGAACAAAAACGCATAAGGCAAACGATATCAAAAGTATCCGAGTCACCAAGAATTCTATTGAGGGACAGGTGACCGCGAGGGGCGGTCGGAAAGCAAGACACACGCTCGTCCTGGAAGTCAGGACATTCAAGAAGGACATGCACGACCGTAAGAGGGACAATGCAACTAGAACAATAAGGAGCAGGGCGGCGCTTCATCAAGTGACCATGGGCTAAGCGAGTATGGCCAATACGCAACCTCGCCAGAGCTGTTTCCCACCGCCGGTTACGGTGGAAGGAGGACGGCCACGAGAAAACACAACATTTAAGAGTACGTAGTTTGTTACTAGTAACAGACAACCAAGAAGCCTGCCAACGGGTAAGAACGGAGGAATGGATAACCGGGTAAAAGTCGGAATACGGAATACCTTTACGAGAGATGGGACAAGAGCGGACAGCTTCGTTGGCGGCAGCATTAGCACACTCATTAAAAGACACACCAATATGGCTGGGAACCCAACAAAACTCAACCGACTTAAATTTACTGTAAACAAGAAACAGCCAATGCTGGATCTCGACAACTACTGGATGAACCGGATTGAAGGACCCGAGAGCCATGAGGGCACTACGAGAGTCAACAACAACTACAAAGGAAGACTGACAACGAGAAAGCAGGAGACGAAGAACATAGAGAATAGCAGAAAGCTCCGCTGTAAAGATGCTAGTCTCCGGAGGTAAGCGACACATATAAGTGCGATCAGGAAAAACAACAGAGTAGCCAACACCGTCCGCAGACTTGGACCCATCGGTGAAGACAGAAACAGAGCGGGAGTGAGAAGAAAAGTGCTCAAGGAAAAGGCGTTTTAGAACCGTAGGAGGGGTAAAAGCTTTAGTGATACGGGTCAAGGATGTACAAAACCGTGGAAGAGGGACTCTCCACGGGGGCAAAGAAGGAACAACACGAGGAGAAACATCAGAAATACGAACGGAGAGAGAATCCTGTAGGCGAGATAACCGGACAGAAAGAGGGAGGTGGTGAAGAGGAACAGGAACCGCAGGAGGGGTAAAAGTTAAAGCACGACAGAGGCGAGAGGAAGGATGTTGTAAGGACCGCGCAAGATAGCGAAGACAGTAGCGATCACGGCGGTCTTGGAGAGAGAGGAAGCCAGTGTCAACATACAAGCTAGGAATACCTGATCAACCAGGCTGTGACTCATACGTCAGGCTGCGAGCAGCCGCGTCCAACAGCCTGGTTGATCAGTCCGGCAACCAGGAGGCCTGGTCGACGACCGGGCCGCGGGGACGCTAAGCCCCGGAAGCACCTCAAGGTAACCTCAAGGTAAGGACGGGAGTCGAACGAAAGGCACCAGAACTGAGGCGCAACCCAGTATGGTACAAAGCATCAAGACGGCGAAGAGTAGAAGAAGCAGACGAGTAAGCAAGGCAACCATAATCGAGCTTAGACAGGACGAGAGAGGAATGTAAAGCAAGGAGAGTGCGCCTATGCCCCACATAGGCGCATAGGCGCCTATATTCTACCCACATAGGTGGGTAGAATATAGTTGTGGATACCACAACTATATTCTACCCACCTCAAGACTCCGCTCCAATATAGAAGCATCAAGAAATATGGACAAATAGGCTTTCTACAATCACTTCCATTCAATACCCATTGTTTCGTGTTCTGTCTTGTGTTGATGAAATTAATACCCTATTAATACCACCTCACCCCATCCACCTCACTCAAATGTAGATATAAACAAATCGGAGATGTGTAAGTTCTATTCAGTTGTGTATGTGTAAACTAAAGTCTTTGAAAATGTAATAAGTTTTACAAAACGCGCTCAAGTGTCGCGTCAGACTAGAAATAAAAATTAATTTTGGAGAATTGATTTTTTAATTACCACCAACAGTGAAAAGAAATGTACGAAAGATCGAGAAAATTCGTGTTAGAATTATTAATCTTACTTTTTCGGTCATATTTAATAATATATGTCTACAGGAAAGACTGCTACCAAAATATACTAATATATATATATATATATATATATATATATATATATATATATATATATATATATATATATATATATATATATATATATATATATATATATATATATATATATATATATATATATATATATATATATATATATATATATATATATATATATATATATATATATATATATATATATATATATATATAAAAGACTGCTACCAAAATATACTAATATATATATTTCATTGAATATGACCGCATATTCTGTATTTATTATTTTCTGGTTTAGGGCTTCTATCCCTCTAACTATTTTCTTAGCATCAGGGAGTCATCATCTAGCAACAAAAACAGGAACCTCTTTAAGCACCAACGTATATACCAAGCCCACCAACATAGGATTATGCCTGAACGGTAGAAGTGAGTGCCCCCAAAGATACAAAGCCAGTGTTCTCAATGCTTATATTCGTCGAGCGCTTACCCACTGCTCTGAATGGAGCAACGTGAGTAGAGAGTTTGAAAGAGTAACTCAGGTATTGGTGAACAACGGATATAGCAACGCGGAAATAAACGCTGCTATAAGAAGACACTTGGACCGTTGGTATAATTCAGAACCTAGAACAGAAACCACAACACCCCCAATAAAATTATATTACTAATCAACCATGCACAGTGAACATATAAAAGAGGAAAGAATAATGAAAGAAATAATCCGTAAAGGAGTAAAAAGCACTACTCCTAACCAAAACATAAACCTGATAATATTCTACAAAACCAAGAAGACTTCCGAACTCCTTATCAAAAACAGCCCGAAGCCGACGGAGAACCCTCTACAGCAGTCAAGCGTTGTATACATGTACACTTGCCCCCACGAAGGATGTAACCTTCAATGTAAGTACATAGGTATGACGTCGACCAAGCTGACGAGGCGTTTGACATGCCATCTTCAATCTGGTGCCCCTAGGAATCACATGAGACAAGCCCATGACATTACTCTAACAAGAGAAATGTTGAACAAGAACACTTGCATAATAGACAAAACCCAAGATTCAAGAAGATTACAAATTCTTGAGGCAATTCACATAAGAATAGAGCGACCTACCATGAACACCCAAATCACGGAACTATTTACTCTACCCACCATGAGAGTAAGGACAAGACAAGAACATATCGATGCCAACACAGAAGACAATGTCCAACATAACAGGCCAATTACACTGGATTAATCTTTGTGTTTAGATAGGAGATGCCTCGTATGGGCCAATAAGCCTTCTGCAGCCCCTATGTTTATCCCTTATGTATCCCCCCATGTTTTCACCTTCATTGTATTATCACCTGACCTAATGCGGGTATAAAATCAACTAGTATTGTAAGATCTGTTCACTTGAGTATGAACCATGGAGGTTCGAAACGTCGTACAAATTATACAAATAAGTGTAATACACTCAATAGTAAATCACTTCTTTTCTTCACCTTAAAAGTACGAAAATGAGTTTTGGAGAACTCCTATTTCAATTAAGCCCTGATGCTAAGAAAATAGTTAGAGGGATAGAAGCCTTAAACCAAAAAATAATAAAAACAGAATATGCGGTCATATTCAATGAATGTTTGAAAGAAAACCTGCTGCCAGTATACACTAATATATATATATATATATATATATATATATATATATATATATATATATATAT